TAGGCATTTCCTGACAAATTTTGGGCGTAATAGATATTTGATTTTTATAGAATTTTTTAACAGGAGTTTTGTTCGGCTAAATTTTGAAATTTTTAAATTCCAGCAAAAATGGCCGAACGAAACTCCTGATAAAAAATTTTATAAAAATCAAATAAATCCTTTACGCCCAAAATTTGTCAGAAAATGCCCAAACACAACTCCTGTTAAAAGCGGAACTCAAAATTCCAATTTTAAGAGGTCCATCAAGGAAGTTACATTTTGGCAGACCCTAATAATTATATATACTATAATGTAACTAGATCAAACCATTTCTTCTTTGATATCTGATAACAGTAATTAGATATAATTATATACATCGATATATATTTGTATATATAACTCTAAATGGTCAGATAATAAATTTAGATAAATTTATGCATAATTATAACTTATAAGATACAATTAAACCTAATCATTTTATCTGCAAATAACGCCAGCTGAAAATCTAAAAATTATAAAAAATAAATTAAAAATTTCTTCTTAAATAATTGTTACAGCCTTCAACTACTCTGGAGGTTACTTTAATCCAGCATTAGCAACCTCATTAAAATACGGCTGTCTAGGGACCACGTTTATGGAACACGTGATTGTTTACTGGGTCGGAGCTTGCGCTGGTTCTATATTATCTATCCGAGTTTACCAGCATCCAGCCATCCAAAGTTTCGTTCAAAAGCACAAACCCAAGTCCCATTGAGCCTGAGAAAATAAAAAAATGAATTACATTAATTTAAAAACTAGTTTTAAGTATTTTAATTTGTAAATAAGGGCTTCCATCCAGACAATAAAAAATATTTTATTACTAAAACTTTTTATTACTTACTTCCCATATTAGTTCATTGGGTCACTGGTGGATTAATCGTTACTCAACAACCGGGTCTTTCTCTCAGTAATCCGATATCTTTATTGGATTACTCTAATTCAATAGAAGAAAAAAAAAACATTGAAGCGCTTCTTCGGTTCACTGTGTCGCCGACCTTCGACTGGATGTCATTTTTTTTAGAGAAAAAATTTCTGTAGTGTTTTTTTAAGAATTTTTTAAACAATGACGAAGAAGTTTGAATTTAATTGGCGTATTGAAGTGCCGGATTATTTACAGACCGGCGGCACGTTTGATCGGTGGTTTGAAGACAAGGATAACACGGAAATGGAGCCTGCCTGTTTGTTCAAAGTTGATGAGTACGGATTTTTTATGTACTGGAAAAGCGACGGCAAGGTAATCCATCATTATTATTTGTTAATTAGCACGAAATAAAATGATAATTAATACAATACAATGTTATGTACCTTGATTAGGACGGCGATGTTATAGAGCTGGCTCAAGTGTGTGATATTCGATACGGCGGTACGCCAAAAGATCCAAAGCTTTGTAATAAATTAAGTAAACACGGAACCACTGAACAATTAAACGATAAGAGTTTAACGATATGCTCAGGTCTTGATTATACAAATATCGTGTACCAGCATATTGTTTTAGAAAGTCCAGATCAGGCTAAAGTAATGTTTTCTTTATAAATAAATTTTCAAACTTCATCATATCAATATTAATATTGATTTAATTTTTTAGCAATGGCAGGCAGGTTTGAGAGCAATCACGCACAATACCAAAGCGAGTAATGTTTGTCCAACAATTCAATTAATGAAACAGTAATTCCATTGATCTGAAACAAAAAACAATATTTAATGTTTTAATTAATGTGTTTTATTTATTAATTGGCAAATGTTATTTCAGTTGGATGAGATTGTGCTTCACAGTTGATCCAAAAGGCAAAGTACCCGTTAAAGTTATCGCTAAGACATTTGCGTCAGGCAAAACGGAAAAACTCGTCTATCAATCACTTGCAGAAATGGGATTACCCAATGGAAAAGTATAATAAATATAATTTATTTAATTTTTAATTAAATATCTTATATATTTATTTAATCGGTATGTAGAATGATAAAATGGAAAAGGAAGCGTTTACTTTAGAGAAGTTTACAAAACTGTATCATAATCTTTGCCCGAGAAACGATATCGAAGAATTGTTTGGATCAATGTAAGTCTGATTGTTGTTTTATATAATTAAGAGAATAAGAAAAATTTTTTCTTGGGCGTATTTATATGATAAAATGGATTTTTATGATTAAATTAGTCAATAGTCAATTTTTGATAACTATTTAGGCTGCATTCGAAAATACTCTATCTCTAGATACATAATTAAGAAATGATCTTGTATATTGTGAAATATTGATATTTTAAAAGATATAAGCTCATTTTGACATTATACTCATCGAGACCTTTCATTAGAGTACCCACATCAATTTTTCATATATTTATATATTTTATATATATGTATATATGAAAAATATATGAAAATGCATGTGGGTACTCAAATGAAAGCTCTTGATGAGTGTAGTATGGGGATGAGCTTATATCTTTAAAAACGTCAATAGTTAAGAAAGTACAGTGCAATTTAATATAATTAAGAAATGACCTCGTATCTTGTGAACTATTGACATTTTAAAAGATATAAAATCATCCCGATGTTATACTCATCAAGATCTTTCATTTGAGTACCCACATCAATTTTTCATATATTTCATATATTTCATATATATGCATATATGAAAAATATATAAAAGTGCATGTGGCGGGTAATCAAATGAAAGCTCTTAAAGAGTGTAACATCGGGATGAGCTTATATCTTTAAAAACGTCAATAGTTAAAAAGGTACAGTGCATTTTAATAAAAGTCATTATTTTATTAAGTAAAATTTTATTTATTAAGAGAGTAAGAAAAATTTTGTTTTGGGTGTATTTATATGATAAAATGACTTTTTTAAATTAAATTTAGTATCATTGGAAAGATCGAGACCTGAATTGGTGCCTTTTCAATGTTTCATATGCTTTTCAGCAATAGTTAATTTATTATGATAAGTTTTTAAAGTTATTCTAAACAGATTCGAATTTTACGATAAACAAAATTTGTTTATTTTTTTTTTTTTTTCGTTTGAATGTGACGAACACATTATTATTTTTAAAGGAATTTTTATAGTTAAATTTGGTATTATCAAAAAAATGTTGATAAAAATTAGTGCCTTTTGGTTTTATATGTTTTTCAGTAGTAAATTTTTTATATCAAGTTTTTGGAGGAGTTTTGAATAGTTTATCGGTTCTATAAATTTGTTTCGTCACATTTTTCCATCAAATTATTTGTAATTGATCCTGTCATGGTATAATTATTTTTAAAATTTATTTAAAAAGTACCCAAACTATGTATAGTATGATAGAAACATAAAAAAATCGTAAAGCCAAAGTTTTTCTATTCATAACCCGAAATCTCGGTGACTGCAGGTTGCTAGATATGGTTCTTTGATTGAATATGTATATGTTGATATTCATTATTGAAAATAAATTTCAGAACAAAAGGACGCGCTGATACGATAAGTTTATCACAATTTGTCCAGTTCATGAATGAAAAACAGCGTGATCCGACGCTAAATGAAATTTTGTACCCGCTTTACAGTGAAGCTCGTTGCACTGAAATAATAAACGACTATGAATTGGATGAAGGAAATAAAGCAGCCAGTAAAAAGCATTAATTAACTAAATAGATCTAGATAACGTAATACTAAGTACTTAAATAATAATAATAATATTCTTACACTAGAAAAGCTGTCAAAGGACGGTTTCGTGCGCTATCTAATGAGCGACGAGAACGCTCCGGTATTTTTAGATAAACTGGAAGAGTGGATGGACATGGATCAGCCTCTATCCCATTACTATATTAATTCCAGCCATAATACTTATCTCAGTGGTCGTCAAATCGGTGGTAAAAGTACTGTCGAGATGTACCGACAAGTTCTTCTAGCTGGATGCAGGTAATTTCTTCGGTATATCCATCTAGTTATCATAATCATTTTAATAATATCCTGGAATATGTTACTAGATGTGTGGAGTTAGATTGCTGGGACGGCAAAGGTGAAGATGAAGAGCCCATTATAACTCACGGAAAGGCTATGTGCACAGATATTATCTTCAAAGATGTTATTGTCGCTCTTCGTGACTGCGCATTTGTAACCAGTGAATATCCAGTGATTTTAAGTTTTGAAAATCACTGCTGCCTGAAACAACAATATAAATTAGCTAAATACTGCGATGACATATTGGGAGATTTATTACTAAAAGAACCGCTTAAAGATTATCCAGTAAAATATTTTTTTATATTTACAAATGGTTGTTGAGGTTTAATTCACTTTTTTATTAGTGTTTTTATTAGTTTTTTTTTTATCTTTTAGTGTTCTACTTAATGATATTGAAATTAGTAGATATCTAAAAATTTTTTTAATTTTATAACAAATCAACTATTGAAAAAAAACAAAATATTTTTTTTTTTTTAATTCTTGACAAACAATTAAATTATTATCAAAAAAATGTAATGAAAAAATTCCAAATGTAAAAATTAAAAAAATTATTAGTCGAAATTTTAAGAAGCATTTTTTTTATTGTAATTGATTTGCTATAAAAATGAAAAAAAAATTGACAGTTATCTACTAACTCCAGTGTCATTTAAATTCGCTCTTATAATTTGTTAAAATTTCTACATGTGGAATTACTTGTTAAATTTTTTTCATCATAATTTAATTGTTATAAAAATATAAAAAATTTTTAGATATCTGGTAAATTCAATGAAAATTAATTTAACGGCTAGTTGATAATTTTAAGAAGTCTTGTAACAAATAAATTGACAAAAAAAAATAAAAAAAAAAAAATTGACTAGAAATTTTAAAAAATTAAAAATGCAATTTTTTAAAAATAATAATTTTAGGACAATAAAGTTAGCAGTCGCTTGACCATTTTTTAATTTTTTTTAACAAACAAATTTGTTCCAAAAAATTATATCACAAAAATTGGATTTATAATTTTTTTGAATTTCTTCATTTCAATTTTTTTTTCTAATTTTTTTTGTCATAATTTATTTGTTCAAATAATTATAAAAATTATAAAATATCTGCTAAATTAGTTTTCATAATAATTTTTTAGAACAAATTTGTTTGTTGAAGAAAATTATAAAATTGTGAAGCGACAGCTAAATTCAATATCATCTTACTTTACCAAATTTCAAAACTAACACTATAAATTTTCGATTACAACAGTTGATATCCTAAAAATTAATGATGCTGAAGTTAGCAAAAAATGAAAATTAAGTTAGCCGACATTTAAAAATTTTTACAATTTTTTTTATTGAAGAAAATTATTACAAAAAAATAAAAAAAAAATTGACATGTAAAAAATTTGAAAAACTGTAAGTACAATTAAAAAAAAAATATTTTTTAATTCTTATTTAATAAAAAAAAAAATCAAAAATGTCGGCTAACTTTATTGTTATTAGCCAAAATATGATGATTTCTAAAATTTTTTTTAACAAATAAATTATTATAAAAAATGCGACTTGTAGATGTGTCAAAAATTTGTTTTTTATTTTTTCTTAGTAGTAATTTATTTGTTGCAAAAATAAAAAAAATGACAGATGTCTCTGAACCCTGGTTAAAAATACTGATTGAAAATAATTGAGAAGTAGTCACTCTATGCAAACTGTATATTTATATATACAAACAGAAGAATTGTAATTATTGAAAAAAATTTGAATTTCATGTTTTTTAATCATTTTCAAATGAAAATTAAGTTAACCAACATCTGAAGTTTTATAAATTTTTTTATTAAAAAAATTATTTCAAAAAAATTAAGAAAAAAAAAATTCATCTTTGCAAAATTTGAAAAACAACACGTGTAATTTTTGAAAAATATTTTGTAGTACTAATTAAATGATTAAAAAAAATAAAAAAAAAAAAAACGTCGGCTAACTTTTGTTTCACCATTTTCAAATAACACTAAAGTTAGCCGACATTTTTAATTTTTTTGATTTTTTTTCAATAATTAAAATTAGAACAAAAAATATTTTTTAAAAATTGCACTTACAGTTTTTTACAAATGAAATTTCAAAAAAATTTTTTTTATAATAATTTTTTCAATGAAAAAAAAATTCTTAAAATATCTAGATGTCGGCTAACTTAATTTTCATAATTTTCAATAGTATTTTTAAACAGGGAACTTCAGTTTAATAAAAAGTAGCAAAAATTAAAATTGTAATTTGTTTCAGTTAGAACCAGGGCATCCATTACCACCACCTAGTCAATTAAAACGAAAAATTTTAATAAAAAACAAGCGATTAAAGCCAGAAGTTGAAAAAGTTGAGTTGGAATTATTCTTATCTGGTAATTATGAAGCAAAAGATGAAACAGTTGAGGATCCAAATGCGCCGCCTGTTGAAGCACCGAAGGAACCAGAACCTGCTGCACCAGCACCTGGCGAAGGTGGCCCTCCTGGTGAAGGTGGTGAAGGGGGCGAACAAGTCGCCATTGCTTACACTGGAAGCTCGATGGCTTGTCATCCGTGGTTGTCTTCAATGATAAATTACGCCCAACCAATAAAATTCCAAGGCTTCGACAAAGCTGAACGTAAATGATCTGCCAATAATAAATAAATTATTGTAAATAATTAGTTAATTAATTAATAAGTTATTCTAATAGATGGTAATTATTTCAGAGAAGAACATCCATCACAACATGTCGTCGTTCTCAGAGACAGCGGCGCTGAATTATCTGAAAACGTCCGCAGTTGAGTTTGTTAATTACAATAAACGCCAGATGAGTAGGATTTACCCGAAAGGAACTAGAGCTGACTCATCAAACTACATGCCTCAAGTGTTTTGGAATGCCGGCTGTCAGATGGTCGCGTTGAATTTTCAAACTCCCGACTTACCCATGCAGCTCAATCAAGGAAAGTTTGAATTTAATAACACAACGGGGTACTTGTTGAAGCCGGAATTCATGAGACGGTCTGACAAGAGCTTTGATCCATTTGCGGAGGGTGTCGATGGTGTGATTGCCATTTCATGCTCTGTTAGAGTAATTAATTCTTAATAAAAATTTTTATACTCTGTTAATTTAAATTTTATTATGAAAATGAAGTTAGCAGACATTTCAAAATTTTTAGAAATTTTTTATTGAAAAAATTTCAATTAAAGAATTAAAAAAAAAAAACTTCACATGTAAAAAACTTAAAAAGCTATAAGTGCAATTTTTTAAAAATATCTTTTTAGTTGTAAATTAATTAATAAAAAAAAATCAAAAATTTTTAGGTGTCTGCTAATTTCAATGTCATATTTTATTTTATGAACACTTGTTAATACTTAGTTTCTATTTAAGGTTATTGCTGGTCAATTTTTGTCTGACAAAAAAGTAGGAACATATGTTGAAGTTGATATGTACGGATTGCCTGCTGATACTATTAAAAAGGAATTTAGAACACGCATGGTACCAGCTAATGGATTAAATCCAGTCTATAATGAAGAACCATTTGCATTTCGTAAAGTTGTATTACCTGATTTGGCTGTTTTGAGATTTGGTATTACATAATTTATTTATTTTTTTATTTTTATTTAGTTTTAATGCTAAGGCGTTAAACCGGATGGCAAATTATATATATATATATATATAGATAATGTTCAAATAAGTACAGTAAATTTTAGAACATTACTAAAATATACAAAATATATAGAACAGATTGCATTAAATAAAAAAAAAAGAAATGTACATCATACTATCATGTACATTTCTAACTTTTCATTATTTAATAGAAAATCAAATAATTTATTAGTTTTTTTTATTAAAATTTATTTAGCAGATATTTTAAAATTTTTCTAACAAGTTAATTATGGCAAAAAAATTGAGATGAAGAAATTTAAAATTCAATTTTTTTTAAATATCTTTTTGGAACAAATTTGTTTGTTAAAAAAAAATAAAAAATGATCAAGTGACTGCTAATTTTAATGTCTTTTTTTTTTTTTAATTTTATTGATAAAAATAATTAATGAAAATTAAATTAGCCGACATCGAAAAATTTTTATAATTTATATACAAGAAATATTAAAAAGAAAAAATTTTACATGTCGAAGATTTGAAAAATTATATGTGAAATTTTTAGAAAAATATTTTTTGGTAATTATTTACAAGTGGGGTCAATTCCAATTTGGGCCATAATTAGGTAAAAAATTAACATTTTCAATTTTTTTTAATCTGCTTGTTTTTACGGCGCATTTATGATAAAAACTGTCGTAAAAGAAAAAAATGAAAATTAAGTTAGCCGACATCTAAAAATTTTTAGAATTTTTTATATTGAAAAAATGATTACAAAAAAATAAAAAAAAATTTTTCACTTGTCAAAAACTTTAAAAGCTGTAAGTGCAATTTTTTAAAAATATTTTATTGTTCTTATTTAATTTAAAAAAATAAATCAAAAAATTAAAAATGTCGGCTAACTTTATTATTATAAGGAAAAAATAAAAATTTCGATAGACTTTCATTTGCCATTTTAAAAATTGGAAAAAATTTTGGCTCATTGTTACTTGGATAAAATTTCTATTTTATCTTTTTTTTATATTTTTATTATATTTTTTTTTTTGAAAAACAAAAAATGAACAATTTAAAAAAAAAAACTTGAATATCGTAATTTTCTAAGAAATTTATAAAATTTGTTAAAATTGTGATGTTCAATTTTTTTTTTTAACTGTTCATTTTTTTATGTATTTTTAAAAAAAAAAATATATCAATAAAATCGAATAGAAATTTCGTTCAAAAAAATGAAAATTAAAATGGTTGACCCAACTTGTAAATATTTACCTATTTTTTTTATTTGTAATTTAATAGATAAATAAAATAAAAAATTTTTAGCTAATTTTAGTATCATATATAATTATGCAACAAATTGAGAGACATCTAAAAATTTTTAGAAATTTTTTAACTAATAAATTATAGCAAGAAAAATTTATTTAAAAAATTCTATCTATAGAAGCTCTAAAAAATAATAAGTGCAATTTTTTACAAATAATTTTTTAGACCTAGTTTATTATAAAAAAATTGTTAAGTGTCTGCTAATTTCAATGTCATAAATAATCTTAGGTGTTTATGATGAGAGTGGAAAATTATTGGGACAAAGAATATTACCTTTGGATGGTCTGCAAGCGGGTTATCGTCACATATCATTGAAAACAGAAGCCAATTTCCCTATGGCGCTTCCAATGTTGTTCTGTTGCATTGAGATATCTATTTACGTCCCCGACGGGTTTGGAGGTACGGATACTGTAAAAAACTTCTAATCTTGTATGATAAAATTAACTTGGAGAATTTAATAGACTTCATGGCGATGTTATCTGACCCTGGTGCATTTGGAAAGGCCGCGGAGAAGCAAGCGGAGAATATGAAAGCGATGGGAATTGAGCAGACTGAAGAAAAAAAACCTAAGAAAGAAGAAGGTCCCAAGTGGGGTCAGTAGAGCATTAAATTTGATCAATTGATCAATTGATTAGGTAATTACTTTATTATTGATGAATTATTTTAAATACTTACAGAGGAATTTAAACCAGATCCACTGACAATAGATTTACTGCGCAAAGATAAATCATATAAAGCTGGAAAGAAACAAAACAAAGAGCTTGATACTCTGAGGAAAAAGCACATGAAAGAGAGACAGACGATGCAGAAAAATCATTGTGCTGCCATTGATAAATTGATAAAAGGCAAAGAGTAAGTATCGTATGATTTATCGAAAGATTTATTTATTTTAAATTTGGTTTACAGCAAAGCAGCTGTGATGAGTGATGACAATGTAAAGAAATTAGTCAAAGAGCAGACAGCTCAGTGGTCGGCGATGATGGAAAAGCAGCGCAAGGAGGAGTGGGAGCTACACAAAGTTCACGTTCAAGCTGGGAAAGATGAATTTAAAAGAGTTATGGAAGTTGTACAAACACAGCAAGTTAAACAGCTTCAAATAAAACAGGACAAGTAATTTATTTATTTAGAAGTTGCGTAATTAAATAAAGTGAATCGTGATTATGATGAATTGTATATGATGATTGTTCGAGTATTTTAAGTTTAAGAATTTTTTTTTATTATGTAAGATGATAACATGTTTATTAGAGTGGCGCAAAAAAAAAAACGACTATTTTTTTTTTTGAGTCTCGAGTAAAAAAATGTTAGTTTTTGATGTTTTAAGAGCTCTTTCTAAAGGACAGCTCAGAAAAAAAATTTTTAAGAGGTCGCTCAAAATTTTTTTAAATTTCAAAAATCAAATTTTTTTTTTTTTTATTTTTTTTCTCATTCCGGTAGAATTTTATAGACAAAAAAATAAGTTTTTGAAAATTTCAGTTCAAAATTTAAATTTTGAAAGGTTGCTCATAATTTTTTTTTTTCTTTTATTAGTTTTTTTTAATTTATTAAAAATTCTATGTATTTTTTTTTATTTAGTACAATAATCTATAAAATATACCACGAGATGAACTAAAAATCAAGCACAATGGAGAGTACATAATTTTTTTTTAATTTAATAATTTTAATTAAATCAAAAAAAAAAAAAAAATAAGTTTCTGAAAGTTTCAGTTCAAAATTTAAATTTTGAAAGGTCGCTCATAATTTTTTTTTTTCTTTAATTAATTATTATTTAGAGTCGGTTTTCTGCTGTGGTCATATCGCCGACTTTAATTGTTGGGAGTGGTACGTTGGGGTTTTTTTGATTTGTGAAAATCTTAACCTACGCGGCAAGGGTCAAATTTTAACTAAGCTAGTTTCTAAGACCAGCTTGGGATTCGAACCCACGCCTGGCCGGTGAGTTATTGAAATATTGTAGTTAATTAAATAAATAAAATTATTGAATTAAAAAAAACTATGTTCTCTACATTCTGCTTGATTTTTAGTTCATCTCGTGGTGTATTTTTATCGATTATTGTACTAAATAAAAAAAAAATGCATAGAATTTTAATTTGAATATTAAAAGGTCGCTCGAAAAAATCTAAAGTAATGCAATAATAAATTAAAAAAAATTATGAGCGACCTTTCAAAATTTAATTTTGAACTGAAACTTTCAGAAACTTATTTTTTTTGGTCTATAAAATTATACCGTAATGAGAAAAAAAAAAATAAAATTTTTGAAACTTAAAAAAATTTGGAGCGACCTCTTAAAAATTTTTTTTTGAGCTCTCCTTTGGAGAGGGTTCTTAAAACATAAAAAACTAAAATTTTTTCACTTGAGACTCTAAAAAAAAAATAGTGGGTTTTTTTCTGCCATCCTAATGTTTATAATTTAATTATATTTATTAGGGACACCAAAGAATTGAATGCAAATCAAGCAAAGGTGTCGGGAGAAACTTCCAAAGAAGTTATGAATGACAAAGCGTTGAAAACTAAGGGAGACAAAGAGCGACGTCTTCGTGAGAAGAAACAAAATAATATAAAAAAATTTACTGAAGAAAGAAAAACACTGGGCATCAAACAGGGCCGTGAATCTGAGAAGTTAAAAGTAAATCATGAAAAAGCTCTTGCTGATGTTGATAAAACCGTCGAATTGGTAATAAAAAATAATTAAAGAGGATTTAATATGTTAATTATCGAAATTATCGAAATATGTACTAAATAAAATGAATTGCAGACGCTGGAGCGGTATAAATTAGATGCCATGGAGTATGACATATCATCAAAGACAGAGTTCTACGTATAATTAAGCGTGATTAAAAGTACTCGTATAAGTTTATCTATGTTAATAAATGATTCATTCACTCGATATATAAATATACTCTATCGATTGTATTGAATAACTCATATAACTCATAAGAATAAAATTTAAATATAAAATAAAGCAAACGTAGACAATACTTCCTTATTGTATTGAGCGTCCGTATCACTCGATTTTTCTCGAGCTAATTAACAACAACAGTTGATACGAATTAATAATAGTAATGCAATGTAATGACATTAAACATTACACATTACAGTGGTATAAACTACTCGGCGATTTAATGGGCCGGTGCGTGCTTATAACTTGTTAATTTTATTTGATTTAAATATTTTTTCTTTTTTAAACACTCCGATGACTCACGAGCGCGCCGTATCGTCGAATATACCTTCGGCAGCAACTCTAAAAACTCATCCTCCGAGATCTTCATTCTCAGTATCGCGCGCGTAACCTACCATCGCGGATCGGCATATCCGTGGAATAATTATCAAGACGAACACGTGCTCTATTTTATCTCAAATAATTTTTATCAGCATTTTTAAGACAGGCTTTCTGTAATCTGTAATAATAATAAATAATTAATAAAATATTATTTAGACCGACAAATACTTTTATAACCCAGTGTTCTCGATTTAATAATTGAGGGAATCACCTCAACTCTTTTCGATGGGGTCCGAATTAATTTCATCAGTTCAGTGTCACTCTTTATACATGCAAATAAATATCTATACATCCTCATATATTTATCTTTTAAATGTATCTGATAAATAAATTAAAAAATGCCTGCGTAGTGCAGATAAATAAAGTTAAATTTTATCTATACATTACCAGTATAGAATAATAATCTATTTTTACTACCGACATTACGTTTGACTTGAGAGAATATACAATACATATATTACGTACACAATTAGATTTAGATTTAGAGTGAAGATTATTACCAAGCATGTTTACTGATACCTTAGAAAAATTTCTCACTGTTATACCAGATACTTTTTTAAATAAAACTCTGTTGATGTTTTTGTTGTTGTTGGTGTTGTAAATTATTATTAAATGTGCTGAATTTTATGTGACAATGGGGTTGTGTGAAAAGACAGCATTTCTAAGGCTGCTACCCACTTCCGGTTGGCACATGCTCTGGACATGGAATGCATCCAACGGCACGACAATACGTATGACAACCAGTGCTTCATCAAAGTACGATTGTATGGTCGAATTAGTTAATCTTGTAGTGGTTACTTTGTCGCTTCTCGCAGCGGTTTCTTTGATTGCCAAGTACAAATTTACTGATCACAGAGTGTAAGTTCTGCTTTTAGTTTATTATTTTTACCTTTACTCATATGCACACCGGGATTCCCGAGTTGTCTCAGTATTTTGTCATACTTGCTACCTTTCACCTGACGATTCTTGGTCTTGATGACTTGATATGATGGATAGTTTGATGTTGAAAAAAAAAAAACCAACATTTCTTCACACTTTAATTTTCTTCTTGAAATTTTTGTGTTTTGTTTTCTTCTTTTACTGCCATGAAAAACGCCCTCTATTTTTTTTTTTTTTTGATAAGCGGAATGATTCTAAAACAGAACATTTATTTATTAATACAGTTTATAGCAATAAAATTATTATGAAAATAATTTAATAAAAAAAATTCCACATGTGAAAATAAAAAAAAAATTTAATGAAAATTAAGTTAGCCGACATTTGAAAATTTTTAGAATTTTTTTTTATTCAAAAATTTATTACAAAAAAATTTTTTAGTAATAAACATTATAAGGGTAGTAAGCACTCGAGATTATTTTCATTAATTTGATTGCATTATATTTTATTTGTTATTAACTTTACTGATATGTTTACTTTTTTTTTGTTTTTTACATATTTTCTATTATTAATTTTGTATTTAATAATTATATATCAGTGTTAGTGTACAAATTATTTGTGTGTAATTTTTATTTTTAATTTATTTTAATGTGATTTTATTGCAGATACATTACCCGCGCGTAGCGCGTGATTCTTGCTAGTATTATAAAAAATATATGTTTAAAAATTCGCATTTATAATTTTTTTAAATTTCTACATGTGGAATTTTTTTGTTAAATTTTTCTCATTATAATTTAACTGTTTTAAAAATATAAAAAAGATGTCTACTAAATTCAGCACTATAATAATGAATATATATTTCTTCTATGAATGTTTTTATCACAATGTAAGCGTTGAGTTGTGCAATTTTAAAACAACCAAACTTATCACTTACACAGAAAAAAAAAATTAACTTGAATTAAGTAAATTATTTTGAAGAACATTAGCTTCTTGATTTGAGTAGAAAAATTTTTAAACTAAGAAATTTTTCTTGGTTTAAGTAAATTTCACTTGGTTTAAGAATTTTTCGTCTTGATTCAAAACAATAAAACTATTCAAAATTATTTTCTTGGTTCAAGAATTTTTCTCTTGATTCAAGTTAATTTTTTTTCAGTGTAATTATTAAAATTATTCAATGAACTATTTTCTGTTTTTAGATTGGCGTAATAATTTTTTTATTGTACATAAAATTGGGGATAAGTGCGATCGTCGGAGCTGTTTGCTGCATTTTAATAGTCACGCCGATGCAGTTACTTCTGGGGAAGAAAATGTCGCGGAATTTGAAATCGATAGCAGTAAAGTTTAACGATTTATATAACAGATTATTAATAAACATAGGTAATTACTAAAAATGATGTGTAATTCAGGAAAAAAGTGACGCAAGACTGAAGCTGTTGAACGAAGTACTTCAAGGCATAAGACTGGTCAAGCTGCGTGCGTGGGAAGTTGTTTTTGAGAAAAAAATATCAACAAGTCGTGATGAAGAATTGACTCTCCTTGACAAGGACTCGATTTACTGGGGATTTATAAGTACTTTGCATTAATTTACACTGAAGCTCAGTTAACAAATAACAATTATTAATATCAATTCATAAATTTGTTTGTTTATTTATCAGCATTTCTTACACACGCCTCGTCAGTATTGATGACTCTGTTCACCTTCGGCGTGTACTTTTGGCTGGAAGAGACTCATTTGGATGCGGGGAACGTATTTGCGAGTTTAGCTCTCTTCTCCCAGCTCACCGTCCCACTATTCATCTTTCCCGTTATCGTTCCGATTATTTTAAATGCCATAGTAAATATTAAATATTCAAAACACCTTTACAGCCTCTACTCTGCCAACAATTATTTCTCAACTCATTAAATATGTATTTTAAAGATCTCTACAAAGCGACTTGAGGACTTTTTATCCCTGCCAGAAGTCGCCGATGTCGTGCCCAACACTCGAGAAAATTATCTCGAGAATAATGACCATCGGACGTCCATGGTTACTGTCAGCAGTGTAAGTGATTGACAGTCAAACAATTATCAAATTCTTACACAATAAGCAATTTTTAGTAGTAGTAATTTTTAATTTAATAATAAATTTGTGAGAATAAAAGATTATAAGGTACAAGACCCAGCTATTGACACTGGCCTAATTATTGACACTTGCAATTTTATTCTAATTAAAAAAAAAAAAAATCAACTATAATAAATTAATAAATATAATTTTTGAATTATAAATTTTAAGAAAGTTGATTTTCTGAAAACATTTTATTTTTTTTTTTAGAATAAAATTTAAAGTGTCAATAATTGGGTCTTTTAACTTACATTGAAAAAAAAAAATTAATTTGATTCAAGAGAAAAATTATTGAGCAAAAAAAAATTATTTTGAAGAGTTTCATTTTATTGAATCATTTAAATTTACTTTAATCGAGAAAAATTTCTTTACTTTATATCAAGAATTTTTCTCTTAAGTCATTTTTTTTTTTCAGTGTACGCACTTCAGATTGAAAAAACTACAGATATATTAAAGTTTTGGATACAAAAAATTTAATATTAATTAAAAAAGTATAATTAATAATTGTAAATAAAGTATTAATTAATAATTCTAGTAAATATTTTGTATTTTTATAAAAAATATTAAGCTAAAATTTTCATCGAGAATCAGTAATTTTTTTTTATAAAGCTACTACTTTGTTAAAAAAAAATATTTTAATAATTTCTTCGATTAATTACAAGATAATGGCTGCGTTCAAGTTTACTAAGTTCTTAGCAGATCTGAGCATATCTTGTAGCAACAACTTAAAATAACTATATTATTTTTTTTTTTAAATCTATAATAAAACAATTCAAGGTATATTTATTTAAGTGTGTTTAAAATTAATTTTTTTGGTAGATAAAGTCAGCCCTGCTCAAAACTTAATAAACCTGAACGCAGCCAATACATTATATTATCAAATTTTTTTTTTAATTTTTGATGATTCAAACTGTAGATATCATGCTCACTGCAAAAATTCTTGTTGCAACAGGTTATGGGCCCAGTCATTATGTTTAAAATCATAAAAATTTTACCCATCAACTTTCAATTTTTAAATAAGTACATGCTTATTTTTTCAACCTCATTGAACCTAATAACATAAATTTCTTCCAGGACGAAGAAAAGAACCTCCAAAGTATCGCAACATTTGGAACCCTAGGAAACATAACAGAAGACGACGAAGATCGTCAAGCTTTCCAAGTACTGAGCACCTACGAGGCGAGTTCTTCCGACACCGTGTTCGAAAAAGACCCGGAGCCTATGAAACCAGCAGTACTGTACATCAAAGGCGTGTTCTCCCTAGGAGAAGACACCCACCTCCAAGTCGACGACCTGGTGATCCCCCGAGAAAAACTAACTCTGATCGTCGGAAAAACCGGGAGTGGAAAAACTTCTTTGATCTCCGCCATGCTGGGAGAGATTCCTCAACTACGAGGACAAGTTTCTTGGAGCAGAGACACACATCTCGCCTACGTTCCTCAACGTCCTTGGCTATTGAACACCAGTCTCCGTGAGAACATTGTTTTCGGGTCAATGTACAGTCGCACTCGCTACCGAAATGTCCTGAAAGCCTGCGCTCTGCAGCCTGACGTGGAAATTCTTCCCGGGAAAGACATGACCCGAATTGGTGAAAAAGGAATTAATTTAAGCGGCGGGCAGAAGCAGCGAATTGCCATAGCTCGGGCGATTTACAGCGACGCGGACACTGTAATCTTCGATGACCCTTTGTCAGCGTTGGACCAGCAAGTGGGTCAGCATATCTTCGACCAGGCGATCCAGAAACTTCTCCTGAGGAAAGGCAGAACGGTGATTATGGTAACCCATCGCCTGGAATTGCTTCGTGCAGCGCATCACGTCGTTTCGATGGAGAATTGCCAGGTGAGAGCGATGGGCACGATGTCCAGCATTGAGCTGACGGACCCCCAGCTGGTGGAAGAGTGGCGGGAGGCCGCTCGCAGGCGCTTGGACATCTCAGTCCAGGATCAAACAGTTCCCAAGACTGCGAAGGATCGTTGGTCCCTTGTCAGACTCGTTTCTCGCATCGCTGGGATTTCAGTAAAACACCGGCACGCGAGCGACGGCTCCTGGATCACTGACCAGGACGCCCACGTGTCTCCGCCGGCCTTTGTGCCGCTGAGACTCCGTAAATCGATGATGCTAGGGTCCAGGTACCTGGCTCATGATCTGACAGACCTCCCGGTCGCCGACGAGTGGGGAGTCGTTCGAAAAAGGACCAGGAAACACCGCATGGCCAGCAGAGCAACTAGTCTACAGCCTGCCAAGCATCCGCCTCCGGTTTTGAGACAAAGTTCAACGCCCACCATGCTGGAAACTCATCATATTATTCCACGCAAGAGGCATCACACTGTTGACAGCGGACAGAACAGTGTTCTAAGGCAGTTTTTCTCAGGAAGGATTTTAGCCGCTGATGAGGTTAATAAAGACCGCAAAGGCTTAAAGAGGCTCATGTCCACTTCTTCTAGTAAAACTAATCCGGAATGGGAGTATTACACTGAGAATAAGGTTTGATTTTTATTTTTTAGCTCTAAAAGCTCTAAAATATAATTGGGGGAATTTGGAGCAATTTGCATTTGAAATTAGTCCACTGATAGATAACGACGGTCTTATTAGCAATTGGTCTAACTCCTTATTTTTTAGAGGGTCATTTTTTAACATTTTGATGTAGCAATATTAGTCTAATTATAAATTATTTAAATGATCCAAACCAAAATATTATACCTCTATTAGATATTAAATTGTTTTTTAAAGGGATAATTAATTTTGAACTATGTAATTTTTTTTTTCGTACAATTGGGAGATTCTCTAAAATACACTGATAGAAGGATTTATTTGTATTTAAAAAGATTTGTTAATATTTAATAAATGATTTATTAGAGGATAGGTCCATTAACAGTTAATAAATCATTTATTAGCAGCTATTTTTTTTGTGCTAACCAAATATTCATTACTATTTAATAAACGATTTATTAATAAATAAAAAATGATTTATTAATATTTAATAAATCATTTATTAGTATTTACACACTGGATTATTAATATTTAAAATATTCCTCAAAAACGTGTTTCAATGTTTTATTTTAATTGTAAAAATTACAGAGAATTAGATATTTAATTAAGTAAATAAAAAATGAAATTAAAGGATACAAATAAAAAAAAAGAGAAATTACAATTAGAAGTTTACAATCAATTTTTTATTGCAACCATACATTTAAAATCAAAGTAACTACCTGTACAATAATCGATTATCGATTATTGAAAAAAATTTTTTAAATTAATTGACAACTTTTCAAGATTAGTATATTTTACAACTTGACCAAACTTTACAACATGTTTAAATCCTTATGCTTTGATAAATTGTTCGCATAATTTAAGTTGCAATTTTTTCGCTGAGGAAATAAAATATTTACAACTACGCGTTAAGTACAGCCATCTACCAACACTGACCACCAAGTAATAAATACTTTTTCAATACATTAAAGCTTCTTAATAGTTACAATAATTTTGTTCTCATAAAAAATAGATTTAGTTAATATTAACGAATATTGTTAATAGTAAAAAAATATTTTTTCCACCCAAAAAAATATCTGAAAAAGATTTTAATAAATTATTGATTTATTAAATACAAACAAATCCTTCTATCAGTGTAGAGTTAGACAATTCGCTAATTAGAACGTCGATAAGTTAACTTTATTTAAGAAAAAAAATCTTGAATCAAGACCAAGAACACTAATTTGAAGAAAATTAGTTTAGTTTATTTATAATTATGCCAAAACCAGGGTCAAATGGCAATGAGAAAATATGCATAAAATTTTTAATTGTGCAGTTTTAAATTTACATACATTTAAAGTATTTTACATTAAAAGTATTTTTAGGATAGATAATATTATTAATGCAAAGATAAAATAAAAAAAAAATATAAAAATAATATTGAATTAATTGACAATTTAAAGAGTCTTAAAGATAAAGGTGAAAGAGAAAAAAAAATTAAATTGTAAAGAAGTTACAACTTATAAAGTTCACTAAGAAATTAAGGACAGGATCAAACATCAAGATTAAATAAGTAATCAAACATCTTGTTTTTAAAAACTTCCAAGCTAGACGAATTTATAATATCCTCTGGTAATTCTTCCTATACCCGTATGACTGTAATAATGAAGGAAAATTCATATTGAGTTGTAGAGAAATTCGGCATTTTAAAGAAGATATTATTTTTCTTGGTTGCTAGGTAGTCTCTCAGAGCGTCTTATAGTAAACTCTTCATGGAAAATGTATTTCTTGAGCCAAGAATAATTTTTTGGATTAAGAATTTTTCTCTTGACTAAAAAAACACATTTTCTTTAAAATAGAGTTTTTGGTTTAAGATTTTTTTGATTGAATCAAATTAACTTTTTTATCAATGCGGAAAGCTGCAGAGATGGCCGGCAAAGTCAACCGCTTTTCAGATTTTTTTAAGATACTGTTGATAGAAGAATTTATTAACTATTAATTAATAAGGTAAAAGACCCAGTTAGTAACACTGGCTTAGTTTGGCACTTGCAATTTTATTCCAATTAAAAAAATATAATTTTCTCGAAAAACCAATTATCTTAAAATTTATAATTCACAAATTATATTTATTAATTTATTAGAGTCGGCTTACTTTTTAATTAAAATAAAATTGCAAGTATCAATAACTGGGTCGTTTGTTTACCTTATTCATTTGTTTGGAAACAATTTTTTCATTTATTAAATGTAAATAAATGTATTTTAACATTTAATAAATATTTATTAACAGTTAAAAAATGTTTATTAAAAGCTGACAAACCGTTTATTAAACACGTTCTATTAGTTTTTAATAAATATTTATTAAATTATTTTACACTAATCATTCATTAACAATTAATGAGGCTTGTTACATATTAAAAAAATTCTTCTATCAGTGCAGCTTTTATTATTAGACCCAATATAGACATCAAACTGAAATTAACAGACATTTGATCATTTTATTCACAAAAAAATTTATAAAAAAATTTTACTTGTAAGAATGTAAAAAAAATCATGGATGTAAATTTTTTTTGGTACTAGACGTCTGCTTTTATCCGTCTTTTTTTTTTCAATTTTATTATCTCATAAAAAAGTTTGCTTCTGTCATAAAAAAATGAGATATCTTCCTAAAAAAAAAAAAAAAAATCTATTCTTATCAAGAAACAACAAATTTAAGTAACACAATCAAGTAATAAAACTTGTGTAAAAAGGAATTTTATAACTTGTCAAAGAATTTTGTCTCTACTTCCATTTACTCATATTTTTTTTTAATTTCTTCTAATCATATCAATATTTACAGTCTATTCGACGGCTTTTGTCTACGGAATCAGGAATCAGCGAGAACCTGGAAGAAGAAAAATGTACAGAATGCCAAGAACTTCCCGAGGTTACAGGAATTGAGGAAGATGGTGGTTTAGTGACTACTAAAGTTTGGTTGAATTATCTAAAAGCCGGAGGCATAACTCCAGGCCTTACTTATCTTGCAGCAGCGCTGGGATGTCAGGTTCGTAAACTTTTATAATGTATTAATAAATTTTCATCATAATTATTATTGATAATTTAATTTTTTCAGGCTCTAAGAGTCTACACGGATCTCTGGCTCAGCGAATGGACGGCTTTGGGAAAAAATCCTCCCAAGTCTGAAATCACCATAAGCACGCACCAGCAAACGGTTTTCTACTTCCAGATGTACATAATCCTGTCAGTGAGTTCAATTATTCTAGCGGCGCTTAATAGCGCGGCCGGACAGTGGGCAGGAACACGCGCCAGAGAAAAGTTGCATCGTAAAGCGATTGCGACTGTACTTCGCGCCCCGATGATTTTTTTTGAGCACACTCCGATCGGCAGGATTTTAAATCGCTTTAGCGCTGATGTCGGAGTAATTGATAAAAAAATCTCAACTTCATTCCAGAGGCTCACGTCCTTCGCTCTACTCTGCGGGTCTGCAATAATAGTAAACATCGCAATATCACCGTGGTTTTTATTAGCTGCAGTACCAACCTGTCTAGTGTATTTTTTCCTTCAAAGATTTTATCGCGTAAGTGCTCGTGAACTTCAGCGACTTGAGGGCAGGTAAATATTTTTATTTACTGTAATTAATTACTGGTCATTATCATGGTGTTGATGATGATCATCATCATCATCATTAAATTGTGGAATAAATTAAATTGTTTTTTCATTTTCCAGCACCCGGGGACCAGTCGCCGCGCATTTTTCAGAAACACTAACAGGTCTCCCGGTTTTAAGAGCTTCTAAACAGCAAGATAGATTTATGGACGATATGATTGAGTGCTTGGACGCAAACACAAACGCCTTTTTGATTTTAAACACCAGCAGTCGCTGGCTGGGCATCGCTCTGGTATTTTTATTTTGTAACTTTTTTATTTAAATAACGAGTTTATATTATTTTATGTTTGTTTTAGGATTACTTAGGCGCTGTTGTAGTTATTGCGTCAATATTTGCAGCTTTACTTTCCGCGGAGTTGTATCCCGAGCGTGTAACACCGGCATTAGTTGGCCTGGCTATAAATTACACGTTTTTGGTTCCTATTTATTTGAACTGGGTTGTTAAATTTATTTCGGAGATTGAAATGTACATGGGAAGTGTAGCGAGAATCAGCGCTTATATCAAGACTGGTCGCGAAAATTATCGCGAGAATGGTAATTATTTTTTTAGCTCGGTTATTTTATTTTAAATGAAGTTTTTTAATATTTTAATAAATAAATAGCTTCTTTATTTTAATTAAAATGATTGATATTTAATTCTTCTGTTGAAGTAACGTTTCTTTTTATTTCTCTTCATATTGAATACAAACAAAATTTTAAACTTCATTTCTAATATTAATAAATAAACAGCCGAATATTTTGAACTATATTGTGATAAAATAATGAATTTTTATTTGGTACTGTAGAAAATAAGACTGATATTTATTACTACTGTCTAGTAATGTAAAATGACGGTCATTTTTAACTTTGGTTAAATTACGAGTAATTGACCAGCAAATGCATTTTTTTTTGGTCAGTTGTAAAAATTTATGAGCATTTTTTTTGCTTTTTACGAAAATTCCTCTCGAAAAAAAAAAACCAACCAACCTATTTCATACACAGGAAAAAAGGTTCACTTGAGCCAAAAAAATATTTTTCTTCCTAATTAATCTCTTGAGCGAAAAAAAAAATTTTTTTTTGACACAAGAAATTTCATTTATTCCAACAAAATTAATTTCTCTTACTTTAAGAAATACGTATCTTGATTTAAGAAAATTTATTTAAGTCAAGAAAATTTTGTTGTTTTGAGAAAATTCAGCCTCTTACTCCAAAAAATTTAGTTCTTGATAGAAGTAAATTTTTTTGTTTTGAGAAAATTACTCTCTTGCTCCAAAAAATTAAATATAAAGATAGAAGTAAATTTTCATATTTTTATTGATTAACATGTCAAATAGGGAGATTAAATAATATTGAATCATTTTTTTTCATTCAATATGTATAATTTCACGCTAAAATAATATTAAATGAGTATCAAATATTCAAGAGAAAAATTTTCTCAAGGTGAGAAAATTTTTTTTTCAGTTAAAGTAAGTGGCGCTGCTTCCCTAAAGTATCTAAAAATCTTGATCAAATATAAAAATTTATTGTATCAAGTATTTATGATAATTTGAATTAAGAAAAAATTTCTTCCACCAAGAATATAATTTCAAGAAAAATTTTTACTTCGCCCAACACAACTTCGGTTTTCCTCAGGGACTCGAAAATTTTCTTGAGCCAAGAATTTTGTTCTTTAGTCAAGAAATTTTTCTTTCTGTGTATGCAACGTAAATATTTTAAATATTCAAAACAAAATTTATCTAAAAATTCTGACGGTAATAAACAAATCTGGCTTGTTCGATTATACTTAGATAGAAAATGACCGTCAAAAATTTTTTGGTCAAGTTTTTAATAATTTTTTAAGTCATTTTATTCATAATTTCGCGAGAATAATCATTAAATTCAAAAAATCACCGGTGATCATTTTTTTTTAGTTAGTCAATTGACGTCAAATGACGAGCACTTGCTTTGCTTCACATTACTACTACTGTCTATTTATGAATGAACTTAGTGGATAAATTTTAGCGGGCTCGTGTGTGAGCGCACTCACTTTGCTCGTTGTGTCAAAACATCCTTAATCGATTATATATTTAAAAATATATTATCAACAGATAGCGTTGATTAAAAAATAATTTATTTTTTTATTTCTTCATAATAAAATTTTGTGAATATTTATGGTAAAAAAAAAAAGTTTTAAAATAGAATATAAATTTTTAAGTTTGATAAAGTATAAAAAAAAAATCTTACAGTACTACAGAAAAAAAAAATACTTTCAAGAAGATATATGATTTTCAATAGATGAGAAAAAGAATATTTCACACGTGGTATTAATTAATTTATTAAACTGGCATTGAAGTAAATTACGTAAATAATAAATATAAATAGAAAAAAAATCATAATTACATAAGAGTTTTCATTAGCTTGTTTATTTAAAAGCCGGTAGTTGTTTACAATATTGTTTCCTTTATAAGAAATAATGTTTTAATATTTATTTTAAAATGTCAAGTCTTGTTAAAACAAAATTTATCAATAGGATACGTAGCAGAAGAAAGTTGGCCCGAAAAAGGTGAAATAATATTCGAGAACGTTTCACTGCGTTACCATTCAGATTGCGACGCAGTTGTAAATAATCTGAATCTCCGAATTCCCGCTGGACAAAAATTGGGAATTTGTGGCCGAACTGCCAGCGGAAAATCATCGACTGTAATGGCACTTTTCCAATTATTGGAAGTATCTCGAGGACGAATTATCATCGACGGTATAGATATCAAGCGTGTGTCATTGGCAAGTCTCAGATCAAGGCTGTCGGCTATTCCGCAAGACGTTATTATGTTCAGCGGGACAGTTCGAGAAAATTTAGATCCTCTTTCTGAGCACGATGACGAGCAACTCTGGATTGCGTTGGAACTTGCACAAATGAAGGATGTAATTGCTTCTCACCCAGAAGGTCTCAGTGAGTATTTTTATTTTTTTTTTTTATTTTAATTAAGTTGATTAATAAACAAATTAATTAATTTGTTTTTCTGCTTTTATACACTTCAATTAAAATAAAGATCTGGAAGTACGTGAAGGCGGTGAGAATTTTTCATCAGGACAATTACAATTACTAAGCATGGCACGAGCGACTTTGCGTGATTCAGCGGTAGTGGTACTCGACGAAGCCACAAGTGCTCTCGATTCGTCAACAGAAAAAAATTTATTACAAGCTGTCTCTAAAACGTTTAAGGACAAGACTGTCATAACGATTGCGGTTTGTATCACAATCACTGCCGAGTAATCGTTAGTAATCTCATCGTACCACATATATATTTGCATATTTTTTTTTCTTTTTTATTTAAATAAGATAACGAGATAACTTGCGACCTCGAGTATTATTAGATCAAATTGTATCATTTTTAAGGAGCAACAATTTTTTTTTTATATTTTTACAGCACAGGGTAACGTCTCTGCTGTATTGCGACCGAGTCATCGTATTCCACGAGGGAAAAATAGTCGAAGAGGGCTCGCCGAAGGAACTGTTCCTTCGGTCTACCGGATTTTTTGCCGAAATGTTGAGAGCTTCCGAATTGACTGAGCCAAATGACTGAATTTTTTTTTGTACATTTGTAGATTATATTCGGGAAAAAATTCTTCAGATTTTCGATTTTAAGATTTTCGACTTTAAGATTTTTAAAAATTTTTCTTATTAAAAAAAAGTTTGCGCGCCAAATTGATAAAAAATTTGATTTATGAATAGAAAATACTTGAATATAAATATTTTTAAGAAAAAGTACTTGAAATTAAGGTATAAAAGTTATAAGAAATGCAGCAATACTAAAAAAAATCAGGTATAAAAATTTTTAAAATTGGACAGCCGAGCCACTGTGAGAATCGAAAAAATAAGTGATTTTCGGGAATTTTTTTGACTGAGATAATAAAGGAATTTGGAGATCGGGTTTTTTTTGTTTTATAAAGTATACATTGAAAATCATTCTCCTAAATTTTGATTGAAATATCATGTTAACCATAACTCAAAAAGGGATTATCTAAAACAAAAAAACCAAACTGCGTTGTAATCTGCAAGCATATGGTTATTGTTCCACGTAGGGGATTTTGAAAATTTGGATTTAAAAAAAAATCGCGAGATATTAAAAATTTTTTCATTTTTTTTTTTTGGATTCAAACAGCCCTAAAAAATTAAAAAAATCAAAATTTTCAAAATTCCTTACGTGCAACTATAGATGAAAATTGAGTTAGCCGACATTTAAAAATTATTAGAAGTTTTTTTTATTGAAAAAATTGTTACAAAAATATTACAAAAAAAAAATTCATTTGTAAAAAATTTAAAAAACTACACGTGCAATTTTTTAAAAATATTTTGTAGGTATAATTTAATAAATAAAAAAAACAACAAAAAATTAAAAACGTCGGCTAATTTTAGTATTATCAACTATAGTTACTGAATAGACGAATGCGAAAAAAAAAATTGCAAATCGGTTCATATTTATGCAAATTACAGATCCCATCAGTTCAAAAGAAGTAGTTTCTGTAGCTGTCACAAAAATGACTATAACTCGAAAAATATTCGGAATTTTCTTATAAAACTCTAGATACATATTCTTTAATATATAAACTTTGATTTAATAAAAAAAAAAAAAAATTTTTTTTGAAATTTCAGTGGCTATTCCCCTTAAGAGAAATTTTATTAAAAATTAAGATCTACGTAAATCTTAAAAATTTTTTTCCGAGTAGTTATAAATAATAAAGTAACAATTGTAAATATATTAATAATTGATTGATATGTATATTTATATTTTTATAATGATAATAAGAAGAAAATTGACGTAGATTATTTATAAATAATGTCAATAATATTTGCAGTAACAGTCTCCTTGTGACTTATTGCTTTTAAGAAAAAAAACAACAATAAGATGCGTAATATAATATATTAATGTCATTTGTGTGTATGTAGTACGTTTTGCATTTAAAATATCAATAGGTAAATGAGTATAATAACAGTCTTTGTAATGTTTAAACACAAACACATAAATACAAATAAAATAAACAAAAAAAAAAAAAAAAAAAAAAAAAGGTGAGAAACGATAATAATTGACAAAAGTAAGTGAAGTGTGGAAACGCTATCGCGAACTCGTGGACTCATGCGTGACCACGCGATCATCCTTATTTTTTACGTTAGTACACCGCGAACCGGTGAACCGATAACACCTTTCTTCAAGTGTACTCACTTGTGCATAAATGACAATTACAATTACTAACATTTAACATCTTAATCGTTTAAAAAATGACAACAATTTAAATTCAGTTTAATAAAAAACTTTTTGGCAATAAATAAAGTTATCAATCAACACAATTATTGTTTTAGTTATATAAGTTTAAGACAAATGTATTATAATGTAAGTAATTTATTGTTTAAATAATAATAATTATTGTTAATTTTTTGAGTAATTTTTTTTTTCAATAAATTTATAGTTAAGGAAAAAATATTGTGGATTTAAACAGGTGTTTGATAAATTAGGCGCCAAATAGTAATCGTAAAAAACTTGACTCAGGTGTATCAGAGTTATTTGTAAGCGCATCGAACGCGGAATTAGTTTAAAAAGTATTCTTTTGTGTTACGGTAATAATAAATAAAAATAACAGCAATTAAAATAGATTTACAACTATAATTATTAAAGAATGTATAACTTCCTGTAGCTGCAATCTGCGCAGTATTGAAATTACTCAGTCAAAAAAAAAGGCTGCGTTATTGCTTTTGGGGAGTTGGTTTAAAATGATTGTTCAAAGTGAGATAAAACCCGCGCATCCATTGACACTGGTTCACAGTTGCTTATCACAATATAAAATATCACGATAAGATTCCTGGGTTTCTTTTGTCGAAACGGCGTCAGTATAATCACACTCACCGTCCTCCATTAGTCTAGTCGGTTAAATAAAAACATCTGCACTCATTAAATCCACAGTGATCTTCGTAATAATCATAACGATAAACTACAGCAATAACAATAATAATAATAATCAACCCAGGTAATAAGAGTCTGGAAAAGTGGAAACTGTTATCAAGAGTGAGTCAACATCATTTCAATCATCACCTTGGCTTCATTTACTTTATCAATTTATTTATTAACCAAACAGAACCTTGTTAACAACCGACTTTTCCTTAACTATAAAAAAAAATATTCTTTTTTTATTATTTATTATTAATTCCAACTAAATTATTTCATTTGTAAAACCTTGAACTCTCCGTGGAAAATATTTACCGATCTATCTAATCGCCCCGCGGAAACGGCTGGATGATTATCATTATGATAACGATTGCATTCCACACTCGATAATAACCGATAGTTCATTTATATACAAAAAAATTTTTTTTTTATTATTTAAATATTTTAAATTAATTTGATGCATATAAAAAAGAATTTTTGATATTATTTTTGATTAATTTGTTCCACAAAAAAATGAAAATTTATATCATTTTAAAAAATTAATAATTGAAGAAGAAATAATTAATTTTTTTTCAATTATTTAAATATTTTTGATTAATTTGTTCCACAAAAAAAATGAAAATTTTTATAATTTTATCATTTTTTAAAATTATTAATTAAAGAAGAAATAATTAATTTTTTTTATATTTTTGATTAATTTGTTGCACAAAAAAAAATGAAAATTTTTGTAATTTTATCATTTTAAAAAATTATTAATGAAAGAAGAAATGATTAATTTTTATCAAAAAAAATTATTTTAATGAATTTTCTTCAATAAAATTTAAAATTTTTCAAAAATCAATAAATTATTCATTTTTTAAAAAATGTTTATATTTTGTATCATTTGACAATTACCTTAAAATAATAATGTCAAATAAACAATTGATGTGAAGAAATATTATTTTTATCTTACTTCTGGATTTTTTTATTCAAAACAATGAGCTAATTATTTCCACGTACCTAAATCCTCTTCTGTGAATGATTTATAAAACCTAAAATACATAATAACATCTTAATTATAAATATAATAAATAATAAAAATTAAAAAATGAAATTAAAGCAGTCACTTGATAATTTTTTATTATTTTTTTTAACAAACAAATTTGTTCCAAAAAATTATTTTTAAAAAATTACATTTTTAATTTTTTAAAATTTCTACATATTCATTTTATTTTATCTTAATTTATTTGTTACAAAAATTTTAAAAATTATCAAATGTCCAATGAATTAATTTTCTTTAAAAAATAAATGATAACATAATAATGAAAATTAAGTTAACCGACATTTAAAAATTTTTAGAATTTTTTCTATTGAAAAAATGATTACAAAAAAAAAATAAAAAAAAAATTTCACTTGTAAAAAACTTTAAAAACTATAAGTGCAATTTTTTAAAAATATTTTTTTGTTCTAATTTAAGTATTAAAAAAAAATCAAAACATTAAAAATGTCGGCTAACTTCAGTATCATACATATAATACTAAAGTTAGCCGACGTTTTAAATTTTAAAATTTTTCTTCATTTATTAAATTATAACAAAAAAATATTTTTTTAAAATTGCACTTGTAGTTTTCCAAGTTTTTTACAAATGAAATTTTTTTTTTATTTTTTTATAATAATTTTTTCAATAAAAAAAAAAAAATTATAAATATTTTTAGATGTCGGCTAACTTAATTTTCATAATAATAACTAATAACACTACCTTCTTTAATGGTGTTTGACTCCTGTCGGGGCACGCGACTGATTAAATACCCTTATCATAACCTTATCAAAGTGGAGTAAAACAGCGAAAGTATCGGCTATTAATTATCAATATCTAAGAACAATTAAAAATTCCAGGCACAAAAACACTGTTAACAGTTGAGAAGAAATAACCAAACAATAAATAATAAACACTTATTACTTATTCCTCTTAGTTGGTTTTAATATCAAAATATGAGTCATTGCGTCACGCGTTTTTATTACGGCAATTAGAGTTCTCGCCAAGGGTTAACTATTGTTTGATTTTCGCGGTGAGATAAAAAACGACAAGTGATTATGATTGTAGTTATAAAAATACGTTTGAGCGTTAAACACTTATCCATTCTTTTAATTCCACGTCAAATTTTTTTTTTTTTTAATTTTTTTATGGAAAATACGTACTTGGTGACTATAAATAAATATATTTCAAAAAATTAAAATGCTTGGTGTAATTTCAGAAGCCAGGAGAGTTTCTAACAATGTCACGGAATCGGAGGACAAGATGAGGTTTTCGTGCTTTCCGAGAGCTACTATCCTGGGACAGAAGGGTAGCATCAACCTTACCACCGTCCCAGGACACGAAGATAGTTCTAGTGTTACTGGTATCAGTATTATCAGTGTAAGTTTTATATTTTTTTATTGTTTTGCAATTTTTAATTTAGAGCGATGCGCTTAACTGTGTTCTGTCACTGCGCAGCCATTTTGGATTTTAAAATTCAGGTTTTCTGTAAATTATAAAATGACACTAAAGTTAAGCGGACGTCTAAAAATTTTTTTATTTTTTTTATTAATTAAATTACAACTAAAAAGATATTTAAAAAATTGCACTTATAGTTTTTCAAGTTTTTTACAAGTGACATTTTTTAAAAATTTTTTTTGTACCAATTTTTTTAATAAAAAAAAATTTTTTTTAATTTTCAGATGTCGGCTAACTTAATTTTCATAATTATAAATGAAATAAGCCGTCAGCTGTCAATTTTAAAAATTTTAACAACAAATCAATTACAGCAAAAAAATGCTTCTAAAAATTTTCACTTATAATTTTATGAAAATTAAGTTAGCCGACATCTGAAAATTAAAAAAAATTTTTTTTTATTAAAAAAATTGGTACAAAAAAAATTTTTAAAAAATGTCACTTGTAAAAAACTTGAAAAACTATAAGTGCAATTTTTTAAATATCTTTTTAGTTGTAATTTAATTAATAAAAAAAATAAAAAAATTTTTAGACGTCCGCTTAACTTTAGTGTCATTTTATAATTTACAGAAAACCTGAATTTTAAAATCCAAAATGGCTGCGCAGTGACAGAACACAGTTAAGCGCATCGCTCTAAATTAAAAATTGCAAAACAATAAAAAAATATAAAACTTACACTGATAATACTGATACCAGTAACACTAGAACTATCTTCGTGTCCTGGGACGGTGGTAAGGTTGATGCTACCCTTCTGTCCCAGGATAGTAGCTCTCGGAAAGCACGAAAACCTCATCTTGTCCTCCGATTCCGTGACATTGTTAGAAACTCTCCTGGCTTCTGAAATTACACCAAGCATTTTAATTTTTTGAAATATATTTATTTATAGTCACCAAGTACGTATTTTCCATAAAAAAATTAAAAAAAAAAAAAAAAATATTTATTTAAAAAAATAAAATTCCGTATAGAAAATTTAAAAAACTATCAAAGCAATTTTTTTTTAAATATTTTTTTACTTCTAGTTTAATTAATGAAAAAAAAAAATAAAAAAATTGTTCAACATCTGCTAATTTCAGTAATGACATTGAATTTGGCAGACATTAAAAATTTTCTTAGAATTTTATAGCAATAAATTATTGTGAAAAAAATTAAATAAAAAAGTTACAAATGCGAAATTAATAAAAAAAATTTTAAGTGGAAATTTTATGAAAGTTAATTTTGCAGATATTTGATAATTTTAAGAATTTTTGTAACAAATATAAAAAAAAAATTATAAAATTGATGTAGAAATTTAAAAAAATTAAAAATGCAATTTTTTGGAAGAAATTTTTTTATTAATTAAAATTAAAAAATTGTAAAGTGACAGCTAAATTAAAAGTCAAGGAAATTTTTAAAAGCATTTTTATTATTGAAATTGATATAAAAATTGAAAAAATTGACAGTTGTCAGCAAACTTCAGTAAAGACACTGAAGATAACTGATTTCTAAAATTTTTTTTAAATAATTTCATAACAATGAAATTATTATTAAGAAAATTTAATAAAAAAATTTCCCTCGTGAAAATTGAATAAAATTATTAGTGAAAATTTTTAAAAGTATTTTTTTTTTATTGTAAATGATTTTTTATAAAAATTAACAGGTGTTAGCGAACTTTAGTATCATAATTAAAATACTATGTTAGCTCAAAAAAATTTTTTTAAGTCATAAAGATTTAAATTTATATAATTTGTGTATGTTTAATTAACTTAAATGGTTATGACATTAAAGTTAGCAGTCACTTAAGTCAATTGACAATTTTTCAATTTTATTTAAGAAAAAAATTTCTTCCAAAATATTACATTTTTTATTTTTCAAAATTTCTCCATGTCGATTATTTTTTTTATAATTTATTTGTTATAAAATTCTTAAAATTATTAAATATGTGCTAAATGAATTTTTATTAATTAGTAAACTATGAAGAAGAATATATCAAAAAGATATATTGTTTAAAGTATCTATTGAGTTTATGTTCATTTATTATTGGATAATTCCAATAATTTCCAACCAATCCATTGAATTAAAATAATTTTTATGTTTATAGAATAATGGAGACGCCAGAGAACCAATTCCCATGAGCTACAAACGCGCTGCAGATCTTGACAGCACAGAAATAATAAGTCACTATGCAAACCCGACTTCAAATGGATCAGCGCATCCCAACATTGAGGCCCGAGGGTTCGAAATGGTTAACCTGGTGCGTTCAAATACTGCGGAATCAAATTTATCGGTACAAGCTAAAATTCCTCGAGGAGGTGTTATAGGACGTACCCCGACTCCGCCATCCGCTCCAACGCCTGTTTACGAGAAAGATCCAAGGTTAGAATAATATTTTTATTTTGAATGTCATAAATCATGAGTACCATATGTTAATTTATTTATTGCAGGTCAAGAAAACAAATAAAACGGGCGATCCTCGAAAATGAGTTCCTGGGAAATCTGGAAGAGGCGCAAGTCGAAGCCCTGGTGTCTGCTATGTATCCGAAAAACATTCCACCAAGTACACTAGTTATTCACGAAGGTGATATAGGTAAGGTTATAATTATAATGAGGTCTGAAGATAAATAAATATGTGGATTTTATGTCTTTCAAAATATAATAGTTATTTTTTATTTCAAGGTTCTCATCTTTATGTCTCGGCTGACGGAGAGTTTGACATTTACGAGGGCAGTAAATTTCAAAGCAGTTTTGGTCCGGGAGTTGCTTTTGGCGAACTTGCCTTGTTATACAATACTAAACGACTCCGGTCTATTAGTGGTAATTTTAATCTATATTATTAAGAGAATAAGAAAAATTCTATCTTCAGGATAGTCATATGATAAAATCGATTTTTTTAGTGAAATTTAGTGTCATTGCAAAGGTCTTGATTTGAATTAGTGCCTTTTCAAGGTTTCATATCATTGTCACCGATAGTCAATTTATTATGATAAGTATTTAGGCTGAATTTGAAAATGCTGTCTCTAGATACATAATTAAGAAATGACTTTGTATCTTGTGAACTATTGACATTTTTAAAGATATAAGCTCATCCCGAAGTTACACTCATCGAGACCTTTCATTTGAATACCCACATCAATTTTTCATATATTTATATAAATTATATATATGTATATATGAAAAATATATCAAAAATACATGTAGGTACTCAAATGAAAGCTTTTGATGAGTGTAACATCGGGATGAGCTTATATCTTTAAAAAAGTCAATATTCAAGAAAGTACAGTGCAATTTAATATAATTAAGAAATGACCTTGTATCTTGTGAACTATTGACATTTTTAAAGATATAAGCTCACCCCGACATTACACTCATCGAGACCTTTCATTTAAGTACCCACATCAATTTTTCATACATTTCACATATTTATATAAATTATATATATACATATGTATTTATGAAAAATATATGAAAATGCATGTGGGTACTCAAATGAAAGCTCTCGATGAGTGTAACATCAGGATGAACTTATATCTTTAAAAAGGTCAATAGTTAAGAAAATACAGTTCAATTTAACAAAATTCATTATTTAATAAAGCAAAATTTCATTTATTTATAGTTCACAAGTCACGGCAGTCACATAGTGACTGCAAGGTTGCTAATTGTCACTTATTTTTTTTGAATTATTTCAAGTAATAACTCTCACAAGTCAATTATGTCTTTCCAATTTTAATTATTTATTAACTTACAGTAAAAAAAGGAGGCAAAGTCTGGGTTTTGGACCGATCAGTATTTCTAACAGTGATGATGAGAAGCGCCCAAGATCGCTTGGAAGGAAATTTGAGAATTCTACGCAAAGTATCTGTTCTACAAAAACTCCCCGAGCCAAAGGAACACGTATTCGCGAAGATATCTGATCTAATACGCGTAGAATTCTTCCCCGCGGGCGCGAAGATCGTGAAGCAAGGCGAGAAAGGAGACAAATTTTTCATAATAAGTGGCGGTAATGTAAGGATAACTCAAGACACCGAGTACGGTGGTGAAGAAGAGTTGGTAGTGCTGGGAAAGGGCCAGTATTTTGGAGAGAAAGCTTTGTATGATAAAGAAGACAACCGAAGACAAGCTAATGCCATTGCTCTGGCACCCGGAGTCGAGTGCTTGACTCTTGATGGAACGTGAGTATTATTTTTCAGTCAAATTTTTTTTATTTGTGTTTCTGATGGAGTAATTTTTTAGCTCGTTCTTGAACTACCTTGGCGGCTTGGACGAGATACGGAATAAAGACTGGCTAGCGGAGTACGAAAAGCAGAAGCGTTCGTTGACACCAAAACTGTGGACTAATGAGTACTCGGAAGTTACGTTGTATGATCTAGAGAGTCGAGGAACTCTAGGAGTTGGCGGGTTTGGCCGCGTTGAGCTGGTGACCCTCAGAGCTGACCAAAACAAGAGTTTCGCGCTGAAGAAGTTGAAAAAGAAGACTATGGTAGACCAGCAGCAGCAGGAACACGTACTTAATGAAAAGTGTATAATGCAGGCCTGTGATTCCCCGTTTATCTGCAAGTATGTTATCTTTTTTTTTAAATCCCTTTTATCGGCGATATATATATATATATATATATATATATATATATATATATATATTAGGGGG